TCATTTATTGTCTATTTATCAATTAAAATACGTTTCGGTGTTTTCCACCATCATCAGTTTCTATGTGTAGCGTTGTTGCTACTTTAAGCCTTGGCCTATATTTTCAAAATATATGCCAAGGCACATAGAAACTGATGATGGTGGAAAACACCGAAACGTATTTTAATTGATAAATAGACAATAAATGACTGAAGCCCAGGAATTGATTTTGATTTATCAATAATAACAATAATTTGTCAACCTGCGACTTACTTTGAAACTCCTTTCACGAATTTGCCAATGGATTACTGTACACCAGTACAAAATGAACGGGAGTTGATTATCCAAGTACGAGAAGCTGTTCAATAACAGTGGATATTAAGGAGATTACAGAGCCACTAACTTGTTTCGACTTCATGACTCAAATGTATTTTTATTTGTCACAATTTTGTGATTGTTTATTTTATTCGAGGTTGTGAAGATATTTCGACAAACATGATAGTCGATATTTCAAAGTATGTTCCGCAGTCAACGAATCCTGTTGCATTTACCGTTTATTCTTGTCTATTTTATTGACACTTTCTGTAGACATTGTTGCCGTCTTTTTGATACAGCTTTTTGCAAATGTCTCAGTGTTTAATGACAACACCTCCATAGGAATGACGCCAATTTTGAATCGCCCTGTATCAACAACTTTTTTTTTAATTTCTTTGTATTTCAAGTTCAAATCAACCAAATATTAAATCTATGTAATAATTGTAAAACTTATAGTTGTTTTGATTTAATTTCAGATTCAAACTGGTAGTAGCACCTCACTGCCTTTTGAAAAACGTAAGTTTTATTAGCTTTCTGTTTTAGAATATTTCTGGGATAAAATGCGAAATTCTCAACAATTATCAAATCCGTGGTATATAGAGTTCGTCGAACGACTCCAGAAAACCACTTGGTTATCGCGATTTTGATCATTTGATCGTTTTTGTCCTTAAATCTACGACATGTTGCAACGTGGCGCAACGTCGGTTAATAGCTACCGTGCGTTGAAGTGAATTTTTAAAGGGGGCCGCAGCTCTTCTTTCGTTTCCTTTTGAGACCTTTCGATGCCGGATCGGGGCCCATTTCTCACCACTTACCGATGCGATTTATTTATTTTGACATCCGTTTCCGCGGCTCGTCCAAATGTCATAAGATGACGGCACACCGCGGCCTCCGAGCGTGCCAGATTAAACACTCGCAGAGTTGATTGAACATGGTGTGTTTATAGGCAAACACTCCGGTGTTTATCCAATTCAGCTACATGGCGATGATCCATTCATGATGGTCCTAACTGGAGCCGATTTGCGTTCGCTAACTAGATGGTTTATTGGTGTTCGATGTTTGGTTGGATTTATTACTGTTAGCATTCAAAGCACATAAGAAAAGTGCATATTCATTTTAAGCATATAAAGGAGGGTATTTGGAACCTCCTGGGGAAACCCGTTAAGAGGTGAACCCTATCTTCCTTAAGGATCTAATTAATGGAAGTAAGCCACCAAGACAGGAAGGGACAAAACTAAATAAGCATCAATCAGAACTACAGTCTACTGTATATTCCAATCACTTTGTTGTATCTCGCATCCACACTCTAGAACCTATCCAATCCTAATCGGGGGCACTTGCAGCCCCCTTCAGGAGCTGTAAGTGGTACGAGGGAGGTGGGACCCCCCTTTCTTTCTTCTTCTTCTTCTTATTACTGTTAGCAATTATTTTTATTTGGTTCTTGTTCCTCAAGTTGGCGGTTCAAATCGGAATGTATTTGCTATTAGGATTGTGTCGAATTCGGATTCCACCTGGAGTCTCGTCTCATTCTTCTCTGAATATAAATTGTATATACTTTCCTGACTGTGTTTCAATTTCAAATCAAAATTAATTCCTGGGTTTCAGTCATTTATTATCTTTATTTATCAATTAAAATACGTTTCGGTGTATTTTTCCACCATCATCAGTTTTTACGTGTAGCGTTGATGAAAAACTGATGATGGTGGAAAAATACACCGAAACGTATTTTAATTGATAAATAAAGACAATAAATGACTGAAACCCAGGAATTAATTTTGATTCTAAATATAAATTCAGGCATCAGTTAAACAGTAGTGTTGGCCATCTCAGAACACCGACCGGTACCGTTGTCCCTTTCGCTAAGGCTATTGGACATTCTAGTCATATAATTAGTTAGAATAACACTAGAATAGACGCGATTTGACGATGATTCGACCTTAAGGCGATGACGTGAAGTTTACATCTAATGACTGTTGAAGGCATTGAAAACCAGATAGGGACGATGAAGATATTGGAGTTAAGATATACAATCGGACACTAATTCCCCTTGAAATATGACATTTTTCTGGAGATTCTGGGGCTTTAAATGGAAGTCATCGACCTCTCAACCAGTAATCAACAGCTCGGAGATAGTGTGGATATCCGAGCGAAAAAGGTCAAATAGACCTGGAGCCGTCAAAACAGGTGTTGATCTCAAGAGGCCCTTGAGGAACGCCGGCGGGTATATGACAAGATGGTAATAATGCCGAGCACCTGGAGGTCCTAGTTGGCTTAAGCCCCCGCTACCAAATGGAGACACTATTCGGCACGTAGGCACGATTCAGGATTTCCCTTAAAAATATTGGCAACGCCGTCGGAGTGTTTCAGTCGTCCGCACTTCTGTCCACATTCAACAAGCCCGTCTGCCGCCATTCGGTGTTTAGGCTTACATAACAGCCGTCCAAGAGCCCTGCGGTCAGGCCCTTTTTCACTTTTTTTACTCGCTAACAAAACGAATTGAAAATGTTGACGCTAAAAGCGTCGTGATATCTAGAACGTTTAGACGGTGAAATTCCACGTCCAAGACGCGCGTTGTTTATGTGCAAAACGATTTTCCTTTGTTTGGAGTCGTCCCGCGAACACATGGCGGTCGGAGGCGGCGTTCTGCCGAGTTGCCACCTCCAAGTCGCGACGGTTTATCGATAAACCAATTGGCGGCAAATTCTTCAAGTGAGTGTTCGTATGTGGTTCCCAACACAAAGTGTTTTTAATGTTTGAGGACAGTTACATTGGCCCACCTGGGAGACCAATTTCTTATACTTAAGGTGATTTAAGCATTGACAATGTTCACATTCTATGTCCATGTGCTACCCATCAAGTGATAAAGAAATGTCGAAGTTCAAACGCAACACATGGGGGAATTCAATGCCAAAGTCCTTCACGCGCTTCACACAAGATAACTTGTTTGTAGCAAAGACGTTCCAACATGTACGTTCATGTTCTGATGGGTGACATTATTGATCTTTTCATTGACAACCGGTCTTCATCTTCATTACTTGCCAGTACTGGTGGGAAAAAACGATTATTCACCGACTCGTTCTCGGAAAGAATACGTTACTACTCGTACTCACTCAGGCTAGTTATGTCAGAGAACTGCACTCTACACGTTCTGTTTGTCGAAAAGTTTGAGAAAGCCGCTAACAATATAATAGACTACAAGTCAAAATATAATTTCTTGACAAAAATTGTACTCTTCAAAAGATAAAATGGGAATAGTTTGGGTTAGTTGGGTTTTTCATTTAAATATTGGTCCTTCAAATCTTGCTTTTTTATATACAACGTACTCAACTCACTTGGGGTTTTTAACTTATTGGGGATTTTGCATTTTGGGGATTTTGATGGAGGTTTCGTCTAAACACCGTCAGACGATTCATTTTCTGTCGGTGTTTTGACGAAACATCAAATTTTCCGCGGCTTAAACATCAAAACTACCTGCAAATCTATCCCTTTTTCAAGCTGCATCAATTTTTGAGATATTGTCGCATTTAATATGCCTATGCCCATTAAGGTTGGGTCATCTAACTGCGTTCATATCGGCTTCCATTCCTGCTGGATTGGATCAATGCGGAGCCAGGCTTTTTCCTTAATTAACTTTTGATTGGTTGAGTTAATAAAACTATTATGCCCGCTTTCTCGTGCACATCAGTTTGGCCCACGCTAGTTCTTTTAGCCTTACAAAACAACTGACGAGGCCAAAGTCAACAAAATATAATTCATAGATATAATGTACATAGTGAGTCGAAAGTACCCTCCCAAAGTTCAGAAAGTGTTTTTTTTATATATGGACAAAAAACGGCTTGCGTTAAAATATTTAACGAAATTTCGCAGATTTCACTGCCTATTTAGTGGTCATGTTTCTATTGAATGAGACATGTTTTGGCGCACCAGCGGGGCGCGCGATCGACCTGACATCAGATATTTTTGAAGAAAAAATTATTAGCCTTTGATTTATCAAAAAAATGATTTTACTCTTTTATTGCTTGTTTAATTCCAAACAAAAAGTGTCTCTTGAGTTCTTTGCATATCACTTTCAAGTATGAAGATAGGTTGCTGATAGTCCATGGATGTCGTTTATAATCGCATAAGTTTTGTAGTTCATAAAAAAATTCTTGATGGAGGATTTTCCTTTCCTCGATATGGTTCAGATTATGTAAACTAGGTTTTGGACTTTCAAAAGCGAAAATCCTTTTTCGTTTAGAAGTTGCTCAGAAAATTGAATTTTGTTGACTGTTGCAAATTGTCGATCGATTTCGTCTATAGTCGGAATTCGTAAAACAGTGCGCCAAAAAGTACTTTTTTCTCACTTTCCGTGATTTGTAAGAAAATTCAATTTTTCTCGATCATTGCAGATAATCGCTGGCAGTCGTTTGTAATCACATAGGTTTGAAAATTTCTAAAAGGAGTCCTCAAGTCGACACTTGTTAAATAAATTTCGCAGATTCAATTCCGGCAGCGAGAACGAAATAATTTCCATTACTTTGAAAATTCATGAAAAAATGCTTGAGGGTGTCCTTAATCGAAACTTTCAGAAAATATTAAGTAAATTTTGCGAATTAAATTTCAGAAGTAAAAACTATGATTTTCTGTGGTGTTTAAGAAAATCGATTTTTTTTCTCAACGGTTGTAGCTAGTTTTGCCCGATGCATCTCCTTTATAATCTCATAAGTTTGAAAATGCATAAAAAATGCCTGACTGTGCCCTCAATATGAAACTTTTACGCAAACTTTGCGAACTAAATCGCAGAAACAAAAACACTTTCACTTTCCGTCGTTTTTAAGAAAATTGTGTGTTTCTCGATCATTGCAGATAGTCGGTGGATGTCGTTCATAATCGCATAAGTTTGAAAATTGATAAAAAAAAGTGCCCGAAAGTGCCCTCAATTTGAAGCTTTCAGAACCAATTAAGAAAACTTTTGCGAATTAAATTCAGAAGCGAAAACTCTGTGATTTCCTGTGGTGTTTAAGAAAAGTTATTTTTCTCAACGGTTGCCGATAGTTGATGAATTTCGTTTCTAATCGCATAAGTTTGAAAATGCACTAAAAAATGCCTGACGGTACCCTCAATTTGGTTCTTTCAGAACACTTTAAACAGACGGCGAATTAAATTGCAGAAACGAAAACACTCTCACTTTGCGTGATTTTTAGAAAATTGAGTTTTCCTCCATCATTCCAAATAGTCAGTCGTTTAGAATCGCATAAGTTTGAAAATTTCTAACAAATGCTTGAAGGTGTCCTCAATTTGAAGCTTTCGGAACGTATTAAATAAATTTTGCGGCTGAAATTTCAGAAGCGAAAACGCACTCACTTTCCGTAGTTTTTATTATTTTTTTCTTGATTGATGCAATTTATAATCGCATAAGTTTGGAGTGTATAAAAAATTCGGAAAGGTGTCCTCAATTCGAAACTTCCAGAACGTGTTAAGTAAATTTAGCGAGTAAAATTTTACAAGCAGAAATGCTCTGAATTGATGTTGTTTTC